GACCAATTGTTAGTATCCTTAGGACGGAATTCCAAGCATAAACCCAAGACAAGCAATCAATTAAGGAGGTAGAGTGTGATGGGAAGGAAGAAAAACTCAGATATAAAGCAGAAAATGGAAGAAACATACACTGGGTCAGCCATAAAGGACTCAGATGCCTATACACTAATGCTCAAATGTTGGGAACAAACAGGGTGAACATGAAGTACTAGTACATGGGGGTAGATATGATATGTAGTTGCCATTCCTGAAACTTGGTGAGATGAAACTCACAATTGGAATGTAGTACTGGAAGGATCTAAATTGTTCAAAAGAAACAGACCTAGCAAAAGAGGAGGTGGAGTTGCATTATATGTAAAAAAATATTACACCACTACAGAAATTATAAAACCAAGGATGAAAGCCTCCTTCAATGTATATCGGTTAATATAAAAGGACATTGCCATAGGTGTATACTACATGCCACTAAACCAAGCAGAAGAAATAGATGAACTTTTTGCTAGTCAGTTAACAAATGCATGTAGGAAATATACCACAGTAATAATGGAGGACTTTAACTACCCTGAAATCAACTGAAAGACAAATTCTTCATCAAGTGGGAGATCGAACAGGTTCCTTACGAGCTTAGCTGACAACTTTATCATCCAAAAGGATGAAACTAGACAGTCAGCTCACTAAGCTTAATTGTTACTAATAGAGATGAAATGATAGAGGGGGTTGAAATTGAAGGAGCTTTGGAGGAAAGTGACCTTGTCATATTGGAATTCAATATAATACAACACAAGCAATAAAACATAATTCAGCCAGTGTCTTAGACTTTAAAAGAGCTGATTTCAAAAAACCTAGAAGAGCTTGGGAAGGATCCCATGGATGAAAATCTTAAAGGGGAAAACAACTCAAGAAACTTCGGAAACTCTGAAAAACGTATGAAATTATACATTATGAAAGCCCAGTCCACCAAAATACCACCGAAAAAGAAAAATAAGAAATCCAAGAAACAACCAGCATGGTTGCATAAAGAATGCTCTGATAAACTGAAAGACAAAAGGGATAAGTATAAAAAGTAGAAAGAGGGAACACATCACTGAGACAGAATACAAGCATATAGCCTAAAACTGCAAAGATGAAGTCAGGAAAGCTAAGGCTCAGAATGAACAAAGACTTGCAACAAATGTCAAAAATTATAAAATAAGTTTCTTTTAACATGTTAAAAGAAAAAAGAAAATCAAGGAAACAATTGATTCACTAATGGGAGAAGATAGCAAGGATGTGATGAGCAGCAAGGAGAAAGCAGAGCTGCTTAATTCATTCTTTGCATCTGTCTTGATGCAAAAGAAAAAAAACATATCAAACGTCCATCCAAAACAGAACTGTAAAAGACAGACTGGAAATACAAATTAAAATAGGCAAGAAAATGGTGAGAAAACACCTATCTATTGTTCAAATCACTATGACCCGAGTTCTGAAAGAGCTGGCAAATGTGATTTCAGAACCATTGAACCATATCTTTCAAAGATCCTGGAGCATCAGGGAACTACTGGAGGACTGGAAAAGAGCTGACGTGGTTCCCATCTTTAAAAAAAATGGATCCAGGAAACTACAGACCAATCAGCCTGACATCCATACCTGGGAAGATCCTGGAAAAGGTAATCAAACAACAGATCTGTGAACACCCAGAAGCAAGCAAAGTTATAAAAAGAAGTCAACATAGGTCTATCAAAAACAGATATGCCAAACAAATCTTATGTCATTCTTTGACAAAGTAACTCAATTAGTGGATCAGCAAAATGCATAGTATACTTCAGTAGCGCATTTGAGAAAGTAGATCACAATCTACTTCTTAGTAAGTTAGAAAAATGTGGGATAGACAGCATCACCACCAGATGGATTTGTAACTGGCTGACAAATCAAATTCAATGTATAGTCCTCAATGGTACTACATCTACATGGAGGGAAATAAGCAGTGGGGTACCCCAAGGTTTTTTCTTAGGCCCAGTATTCTTCAATATCTTCATAGATTTATCTGAGGGAATAGAAGAGGAACTCATCAAATTTACAGATGACTGGCAGGAAGGTAGCCTCAAAATCCATAAGGATCTTGACAGACCTGAACACTGAGCCCTATCTAACAAAATGAAATTCAGTGTAGAAAAAAATAAAGTCTTACACTTAGGCAAGAAAAACCAAATGTACATGTATAGAATAGATGGAACCTGGCTCAATAGCAGTAGTTCCAAGAGGAATCTTGGAGGCCTAGTGGACAATCACTTAAATATAAGCCAGCAATGTGCTGAGCCATCAAAAAAGCCAATGGAATCCTAGGCTACATTAACAGAGGGATAGAATCAAGATCACATGAAGTGTTAGTACCACTTTATAATGCCTTGGTAAGACCACACTTGGAATATTGCATCCAGTTTTGGTTGCCACTATATAAAAGAGATATTGAGAGTCTGGAAAGAGTAAAGTTTGAAAAACCAAATGGATAGGTATAGAATAGGGCATACCTGGCTCAACAGCAGTAAGTGTGAGAGGGATGTAGGAGTCTTAATAGATAACCACTTAAATATGAGATAGCTGTGTACTTCAGCTGTCAGAAAAAACTAATGCAGTTCTAAGTTGCCTCAACAAAGGGATAGAATCAAGATCATGAGAAGTGTTAGTACCGCTTTATAATGACTTGGTAAGACCACACTTGGAATATTGTATATAATTTTGGTTGCCACTATATAAAAAAAGATATTGAGAGTCTGGAAAGAGTGCAGAGAAGAGCAACAAAGATGATTAGGGGCCTGGAGGCTAAAAGGTATGAAGAACGGTTGCAGGGATTGGGTATTTTTAGGGTAGTGAAAAGAAGGACTAGGAGTGACATGATAGCAGTGTTCCATATTTGAGGGGATGCCATAAAGAAGAGGGGGGGTGTCAACTTATTTTCCAAAGCACCAGAGGCAGGACAAGAAGCAATGGATGGAAACTAATCAAGGAGAGCTGCAACCTAGAACTAAGGAGAAATTTCCTGACAGTGAGAATGATTAACCAGTGGAACAACTTGACTTCAGAAGTTGTAGGTGCTCCATCACAGAGATTTTTAAGAAGAGATTCGATAGCCATTTGCCCATAATGGTATAGGGTCTCTTGCTTGAGCAGTGGGTAGAACTAGATTACCTCCAAGGTCGCTTTCAACTCTGTTATTCTGTTATTTATTCTCTTAATCTGTTAAATGGCTATCTAAACTCTTTTCAAACCTCCAGTGATATAGTACCCACAACTTCTGGAGGCAAGCTGTTCCACTTATTAATTGTGCTCACTGACAGGAAAATTTATTCTTAATTCTAGGTTGGATCTCTTTTTGATAGGGTTCTATCTGTTACTTTTTGTCCTTCCCTTAGATACTTTGGAGAATAGGTCAACCTCCTCTTCTCTGTGACAGTCCCTCAAATATTGGAATATTGTCACCCCTAGTCCTTCTTTTTGTTAGACTGGACATATCCCAGTTCTTGCAACTATACATTGTACTCTATAGCCTCCAATCCTCTAGTCATCTTTGTTGCTATTCTCTGCACTCTTTCTAGAGTCTCAATATCTTTTTTGTATTGTGGTCATCAATACTGGATGCAGTATTCCAAGTGTAATTTTACCAGTGGAATATAAAGCAGTTCTAACACTTCACATGATCTTGATACTATCCCTCTGTTGTTGTTTCAATGTAAAGATAATCATACAGTATTAATTAAAATAATAGCGCTCTATTGCTTAGATAATTTAGAGTATTGGAAATAAAGAAAAGAGAAAGAAATGTTCTATCAATACAAATTACAATTTAGGGTGTTTATATTACAAATATAAAATTATTGACTTTTTGATCAATAAAAAGCTGAACATAACATTAGAAAAAAGTAATGTTGCAGATGAGTATTTGCATGTATAATAAAGTATTTGATTGTATAATAAAGATTTTGGACTTGAGTTGATTACTTAATATTGAGATCTCCATTGTGCAGTTACTTAATATGTTAACATATTTAATAAAAGGATTGAATAGCTATTAACAAGACTTAAAATATATAGTGGTATCACGGTATCTGACTGCTTCAAAAACTGTGGAATTTGATACTCAGTGCATTTTGATGCAAAAATGTTGTCCCGGTACTCATAGTTTCTTTGGTGTTCAGTGTGCTGCAAAAGGAAGAGGGGGATGGCCTTAGAGGGAGGACAGGAAGTTGGCCATGCTGGGAAGGTTACTGACATAGGAAAAAAGACAAAGTTTTTCCTGGTCAAAACAAAGGGTCACATGGTAAGTTATCTGGTTTGCTTGGTACTCGTAATTTTTAGTACTCATCATGCTTCCCAGAATCAATTAACATTCAGTATTGAGGTACCACTGTATAAAAAATATGTTTTAAAAAGGGGGAAAGATAACAAAAAAGAACTATTGGCTTTCTAACTCCCCCTTTTTTGTGCATCTGCTAATATACAAAATTGTAGACATTTAAAAGTCCTTAGAAGCCAGGCTGTAAGTGATTATATTTGTCATGTTGCATGATGTATTGTATGTATAGGAACTATTCTTGTTTAAACTTCTGTTGTGTATATATACTGTGAATTTTGCAATTGCTGCATATTCTCCAATTTTAAGTTTCCAATTAGATAGTTATTAAAATGACATATTTTCCAGTGCTGAGCAAAATTTATTCTTGCTGCTATAAGCCTATATTTCATTAAATTATCACATTTCTTGTTGATTTTTTCCTGAAATTATATCTAATTAAAAAGTTGTGGTTTCACTTCAAATTGAAATTCCAAAATTTTCTGCAGTGGACTTATGTATCTTATTATAAAATGTTTCTTTTGTTTCATGGCAATTCCAACATTTATTATTTTATAATTTGTCTATGTTAGATATTATTGATGGAATTTTATTCTATATGTAGGACCATTTGTACCAATTTCAGCTGTGTAAAATCTTTCTAATTTTTGTTTTTTCAGTCTGCATAACCTACCTCCCAACGTCGATCATTGGTAAAAATCTCTTCACTGGCTAAGTCCAATTGATTCCATTCCAAAAGCAATTTCAGTTGACCATTCCAGTCATCTTTATCTTCTTCATTTGTGCTGAAAGCTGAAATTGGAGGAACTGTATTAAAATCACACAGTATTCAATTCTCATTTTCCAGCCCACTCATCTTGTTTGAACTCCCTTTGTTTTCTCTAGACTTTCTATGAAGAATTAATGCTGTTATTAATAAAACTATGAATATGAGAATTTTGCCTGATTATTGAGGTGTTAATAGGACATCCTGCCCCCAAAATGCCATACCTAATTTCTTTATACTTTCATTTTTTTCTGATTTTATCTTAATTGGGAATTCCTATGAATAGTTATAAGCCTTATTTGAACAAACATAACACTGCATATTTTAATAGAATGGCTTTTTTTATATTACTTTTGTCAGACCTGCCCCAGTCCGATCCCTTAGGAAAGAATGACCCTTGACTCTATTTAGGTGAAGTGATAGGTTCTTTTACTAAAAGATGCTGGTTGCAGTAAAGTCAGTCTAGAACTAAATTTCCTGCATGAAAGCATACAAGCTTTTCCTTTCAATCTGGTGTCTTGGTGCCCTTGAATATTGGCATGAACTGGTTGAAAGCATCCCCAGTCTTCCTCAAATGTCATTCCCCCCTCCTGGTTTCACAGTGCTACCCTAATACATGTTTATTGGCCATTTGTTCACTCGTGCTCCCTGCCTTGGTAATTGATGGCAGGATGCCAATGAGGTTTGAAGCCGAAGATGGCAGAACTGACATACTGCTCCCTTGACAGCAACACTAGTTCTGCAATGGAAACAAAAGAGAGAGAGAGCAGGAGAAGGAGAGAGAGAAAAAACAAAACGTCATTATTCAATGACGATTCTCTGGCTATTGCTCATGGAATCTCTTAAGCAATTTAGAAGCTTTGCTGCCTTTGAGTCCATCCATTTGATTTTGGAGGGTGGAAAGTCCTTCCACAGTAATAGATATTGGGTTTTGTCCTGGTGTGTCCGAGAGTCCAAAATGGCTTTGATTTCAAAGTGTTGTTCCCCCTCAAACATAATCAGGTCAGAGGCGGTTTCGTTTTTGGGTGTAGGGAGAGGTGATTTTCGTTTCAATAGGCTGCAGTGGAATACAGGGTGCACTTGCCTGAGTGTTTTTGGCAGTTCAAGCTCAATGATGACTGGGTTGGTAACTTTTTAAATGGGACATTAAATACTTTGGTCCCAGTTTTCTGGAAGGTTGGAAAGTTGTCTAGATTATAAGTACTTGGTGGATGAATAAACCCTGTCCCCAATTTTAAAGTTTTTTGGTGTTGAGCACCTTTCATCAGCTTGTTTTTTGTACGTTTCCCTCACCTCCACCAATGCTTTTCTTACTACTGGTCAGGTGTTTTACAGTTGGGTGATCCACTCCTTCAAGGAGGTGGTTAGTAGGTGTCCTGAGGCAATTTGGGGATAGATACAAAGTCCTGCCCAGTGGCCACTTTAAAAGGGTGAATCCAGTGCTACTCTACATTGAGGTGTTGTAAGCAACCTCAGAGAAAGAAGATCTGCCTAATTGTCCTGTTGATAGTTAATGTAACATCTGAGATACTGTTCCAGAATCCCATATGAAGAATGGTTGCAGGAATTGGGCATGTCTAGAGTAGTGAAAAGAAGGAATAGAAGTGACATGATAGCAACGTTCCATATTTGAGGGGATGCCAACTTATTTTCCAAAGCACCAGAAGGCAAGGCAAGAAACAATGGATGGAAACTAATCAAGGAGAGAAGCAACCTGGAATTAAGGAGAAACTTCCTAACAGTGAGAACAATTAACCAATGGAACAGCTTGCCTTCAGAAGTTGTAGGTGCTTCATCACTGGAGGTTTTTAAGAAAAGACTGGACAGCCACCTTTCTGAAATGGTATAGGGTCTCCTGCTAGAGCAAGAGGTTGGACTAGAAGACCTCCAAGGTCCCTTTTAGCTCTATCCTGATAGATCAATTGAATTAGATTAACTTTGTTTAGGCTTATATGTACCATTAAAGTTAGTCCTTGCTTAATGATGGTAATTAGGAGTGAAATTTCCATTGCTAAGTGATACAATTATGAAGTGGGACACCGCATAACTGCACTATCTTCTGATGGAAATTCCCACTTATCATTGTTAAGCAAGGACCACATGGATTGTTAAGCAAGGACCTCACCTTCCAAGTTTTTGCTGGCTTCCCCTTTGACTGTGCTTGTAGAAAGCCATTGGGGAATGTCACTAGTCATCATCTTGCCTATGGAGATTCTCAGTCATCCAGGTCATGGTTGTCCCAAAGGAGCTTTTTCAAGAGCAACTGGACTGTTTTTCCTTTAAAGGTTTTCAAGAATGAAGTTCAGTATGTGCCCAGAGAACTAGTTCTCCACACTCACAGTACTACAAAGGAACAGAGGAAACTAGGCTGCCTTGCAATGGAATGTGGGAATCAACACTACTGGCATTCTGTAGTTTGCACATGTCAGGATTTCTCTCCAAATGGGCTGAATTTAGTCCCTGGGGAAGGCAGTCTGGCACCATGCTTGTGTTTCCACCACTGTTGCACTTTGCATGAGCTGTGAAATGCCACAAATCTGGTACAGGAGAGCTTGAAGGGGTGGGGCAGGCAGCATTGTGGGAAGTGGAGATGGGCTGCATGTTTCAGGGTTTGTGCAAAGTGCAGTGGTGGAAGTGGCAGAAGCATGGTGCCAGACCCCCACCCAATGGTCCTTTCCAGACCTGCCATTCTGTCCCCCGCCCCCCATCCCCAGTGCCTGAGGCAGTCCAATGGGAAGGCAGAGGCCCATCCATCAATGCATGGATTAGCTGGCTGTTAGTGTCCTGAGCTGCGAATCAGGCAGGGATAAGTATTCCTGAGTGAATCGCCTGTGGCCACGCAATGGGGGAAAGGATGGAGATCCAGTGGCAGGGCAGAGTGCTGGCAGAGGGCCAACTGAGAATGAGCAGAGAATGATAAGTCTGCTGTGATGAGGCACCCAGGGTGAAGTGGGTGCAACAATGTTGCCACAGTCAATTATCCCATTCTATATCTGATCTGGTAGGATGGGTACGTATCTTTAAGGAAAAGTGGTCCTGCAGATAACCTGACCTGTTCCATATAGAGCTTTAAAGGTGATGACCAGCACCTTGAATTGCACCCAAAAAGAAACTAGAAGGTGCAGCATAGGTGTTACTTGGGCAAACCGAGGAGCTCCACACTACTGCATTCTAGACTAGCTGAAGTTTCCAGGTTGTCTTCAAGGTAGCCCCATATATAGTGCACTGCAGTAATCCAAACAGGAGATGTCCAAGGCATGGGTGACCTTGAGTAAGACCTCCCAGTCCAGGAAAAGGCATAATTGGTGCACCAGAAGAGGAGGTATGAAGTTTCTCTGGTGATGGCTGTAACCTGCTCCTCGAGCAGGAGCCATGAGTCCAGGAAGACCCCCAAATTGCATACCAGTTCAGTCTGGAGAAGTGCTATCCCATCTAGAGTCAAAGAACATTCTGGTCCTGGGGGGGGCATAATGCAGAAATGTGTAACATATAAGTTAAGTGAATGAGAAAATAAGAATGACACCATACCTTTAAAAAGAGCATATGAAATGGCATTGCTCACAATTTCATCTCCAGCATCTTCAATTTTGATGACAGTTATCAGATGAGGATTTTCAAGTATTTCTTTGATCTAACAAGGCAAATCAAGATTTCTTCTATCCCCAAAATCTTCTAAATCAATAAACGTTTCTTTTATTAAAATATTTCCTGACACTTAAAAGGATACAACATATAGGTTCATACTTCGTAGCTATTATGCTGCATAAAACTTACTATAAGGTGTCCTTGGTGCTCCTTGAACTTGGTTGTTTTAGTGCACTGATAATGTTACCTGGTTTGGATAATGAATAATGATATCCATGCAACAATGATTATAGACAGTAGCTTTAACATTTGTTGTCATGAAATGTTTTGAGAGGCTGGTGTTGAACTATATTAAGGCTAGTCTTCCATCTATTTTGGACCCATATCAATGTGCATATAGGGGTAATAGATCAACTGATGATCCTATGGCTCTTGTTGTCCATATTGTATTGAATCACTTGGAACAACAGGGGACATATGCAAGGCTGTTATTTGTGGATTATAGCTCTGCCTTTAACACCATTCTACTCAATAGATTGTTTTCTAAAATGTCCAATTTGGGTATAAATCAGAGGATTTGCTTGTGGATAAAGGATTTTCTGACAGGTAGGCCACAGTCAGTAAGGATGGGATCTCACCATTCCTCTACTCTGATATTAAGCACAGGAGCCCCCCAGGGTTGTGTGCTAAGCCCTTTCCTTTATTCCTTGTATATGCATGACTGTACCCCACTGTATAACACCAACACAATTATTAAATTTGTGGACGATACAACAGTGGTGGGGCTCATTAATGAGAACAATGAGTCTGCTTACAGGAAGGAGGTACAAGGGCTGACATTGTGGTGTAATGAAAATAATCTTACACTTAACACCACAAAAACTAAAGAACTTATAATTGACTTTAGGAGGAAGAGAGATGTACATCTACCATTGTACATAAATGATGAGGAGGTGGGGAGGGTGGGTAGTTTTAAATTTCTGGGCACTTATATTTCGGAGGACCTCTCATAGACTATGAATGCTAACATGCTTGTGAAGAAGGCACAGAAGAGGCTGTACTTCCTGAGAATGCTCAGGAAGATAAATTTATCTCAGCGTCTACTCTTGTCCTACTATCACAGCACCATTGAGAGTGTTCTGACATACGGCATTCTTGCATGGTATGGGAGCAGTTCTGTAGTGGACAAAAAAGCTCTACAGAGGATTATTAAAACTGCCCAGAATATTACTGGACTCCAACTACCAGCCCTGGATAACATCTTCGAATCTCGTTGTTTGAGGAAGTTGCATAACATTCTCAGAGACTCTTCCCATCCTGCTTACAATCTTTTTGGACTGTTGCCTTCTGGCAGAAGATACAGAATAATTAAAACTCAGACCACACGTTTTCTGAATAGTTTTTTTACCCCAGAGCTGTAATTGCACTCAACAACGAACTAAGGGGCCACCATCAGTGAACTGTTGGACAGCATTACTTGGTCTGTTGTGTGGATGTTGGGTGGTTTTAGGGGTGGGGATTGTGGGGGGGGGAGTGTGTTTGGGGATTATGTGTGTGGGACTTGGTTTTTGGGTGTCAAGTAAATTTCGTTGTATATGTATACCATGTACGCACATACAATGACAATAAATAAATTTAACTTTTAACTTAACTTCATCAAAAAGTGCCTCAACCAATTTAGTACAACCAACACAAGCTGTATAACGGATAACACTGCCATACATCAAAAACATCTCAGAAACCACAGACTATTACAACCACATGGAATCAGCACACAACCACAGACTATTACAACCACATGGAATCAACACACAAACCAATTAAAGCCCTCAAAACTAAGTAAACCAAAAGACCCAGCAGTGGCAGAAGGAAAAATAGGAATCATTTATAACATAACAGTGTAAAGACTAGAACAGCCCTCTACATATGACAAACAAGCAGAATACTAGCAGAAGACCAACTGGAAGTCAAAAGACATATACAAACTCTTTAATTTCACAACAATATTAAATGAAAGAACCAGTCTATTGCCCACAACAGCCCTCAAAGGTCTGACTTCTCCGGCTTGATGCCTCATTGGTATCCTGCCATCAAAGGCTAGGGAGATGGAGCATGGGGGGAACAAATAGGCAATAAGCCTGTATGGATAGATGATGGGAAATAGAGAGGGGGGAATGACAGCTTGATGAAGAACAAAGAAGCTCAGAACCAGTTATGTTTATGCCAGTTCTCAAGGCCATGCACCCTGAAAAAAGAATGTGGTGTCAAACTGCAAAGAATGCTTATGCTGTTGCATCCATTACTGCTTCTTAGCTTGCCTACATATTTGAGGGGAGGGGAGGGAGGAATGGAATGCAGGCTTCAGACATTGGACTGCCAAGCTGTGAGAACCGAGATCATTCGAAACATGTTTATTGAGAACTAAAACACTCTCTCATAATAATATCTGACACTCTATTGGATAATGTGACCTGCATTATTAGGGGGGGAGGGAGACTCTATACTTTTAATAAACTGATTTAGGCATCAATTAACTAGAGCTGGTTTTCTTTTCATCTGTGCCAAAATGGTGTGCTCAGTAAAGTTTTGCATTGGTGACTGGAAAATCTCAGCTTGACATTAAACCAGCTCTCAATTAAAATTAAATTCGATTAGGGAATCCTGAGCTCCTACGCCCCATCCAGCAAAATCCAGAGAGATAGTGAAGACTCAGGGGAAGATGCCTGAAATGAAGTGAATGGGCGAGCAACTGGCAAAAGCTGGGACTAGGATGACAGAAGGGACCCCAGTTGGGAACCAGGGGGGTTCCAATGCCCAAGCAGCCTCCACCTGGCCGAAAGTGAAGGCAGAGAAGAGGGAGCTGCCAGTGGCACTGGAATGGACCAGAGCAGAAGGAGGCTTTGGCCAGTTGCTCATCCATTCGCTTCATTTTGGGGCATCTTCCTCTGAGGTGCAGAGCAAAGGGAAGGAGAAGTTGCGAGTGGCTCACCAGGTCATTGAGGTTTCCCCCTGCAGACCACGAGGGGGAGGGAACTCTGACCCCGGAAGACCTGCAGCTCACCTTCTACAAGAGTGATAGCGAGGAAGAGGATGACCTGATGGCAAGTGGACCTATCAGCCTCCTTTTGGCACAAGTAGACATTATGGTGCCCTGCTCAGGGGTGAAGGGAATAATAAAATGGGAGACTTCAACTATCCAGATATCAACTGGGAGACAAACTCTGCAGTGAGCGGGAGATCAAACAGATTCCTAACCAACCTAACTGACAACTTAGTCACCCAAAAGGTGGAGGAGGGAACTACACGTAAAGCTATACTGGACTTAATCCTTACAAACAGAGAAGAAGTGATAGAGGGAATTGAAATTACCGGAACCTTGGGCAAAAGTGACGACATCATACTGGAATTTAATATAATGCAAACACTAGCAATAGAAAACAATCCAACCAATGTCCTAAACTTCAAAAGAGCTGACTTTAACGAACTCAGAGAGAACCTAGGAAAAAATCCCATGGATGAAAATCCTAAAGGGGAAAACAACCCAGGAAGCATGGAAAACCCTGAAAAATGCTATCATAAAAGCTCAGACCGACTTCCAGTTTGAATCGCGGCGCCGATGGCAGCTCCTCTGTGAGCTGTCCGCCCTGAAGACACGTAAGAGCCACAGGAACAGCTGTTCCGCAGCTCGGAATCCCCTTCCCCGGGCAAAGGGGAGGGGGTGAGCTTCTCTGATAGGGGTAGAGCTCTCTAGCCCTCTCTAGCCCTCTCTAGCTCCCCCGGAGTCGGAGATTCCTCCGTGCTTCAGGCTGCCTTCGTCGAAATGAAGCTAGATGCGGATTCAGCCTCTGCCTTTCTAGGAAAGTGTGAGTTGAATTTTACAGGCAGACAGAGCCTATCAGGAGGATTTAAAAATTGTTTGGACTGAAACCTTAACTCTAGAATTAAAGTATCTTCTTCGTTTTTTATGTTAACTGGAAGAAGAAGAAGTATGGCTGCGGATGGGCGTTTCTGTTTTTTTTAATTGAAAATATATGAGACTTTCACTTTCTGGGGACTTTCTTTTGGATTACTATTGTAACAGATTTAGTTACTTTGAGCTTGTTGGATAAGTTTTCTGTTTTTACCACTGCTTGAGGTGATTACAAGACTTTACAAGATATATGACCTCTACAAGATTTTAACTTATGTTTATAAGTGAAACTATAAGAGAAGGAGGAGAGAAGTAAAATGGCTTCTAAGCGTGTGGAAACTTTTGTTCCTCAGAAGAGCACAATCTCCTTCCCAGCTGTTCAAACACCACAGCAGCCAAAATCTAAGACTCCTCCACCCTCACCCCCAATCCCAGCACTTACACTGAAAGATATTCAAGATGCATTAAAGGACAATGCTAGACAGATCAGAATGGAAATGGAGGATATGTTTGAAAAGAAACTTGAAGAGAAACTTGAAGAGAAGAATACAGAGTTGAGAGATGACATAGTGTTTGCATTGCAAGGTCTGGCTGTCCATGTAGAACGTATTGAAGGACGGGTGGAGGAAGTGGAGGATCATGTTGAAAATATGGAACTTAGATTGGGGAAAGTGGAGGAGGCAGTGGATTTAACTCAAAATGAGGTCCTTTTGTCACAATACAGAGAAATGGAATATGCTCTGAGAATAAGAGGGCTGAGAGAAAATGCTCAAGAGAAACTAAAGGATGAGATTGCAGCAGATTTGGCCTTGGTTTTATCCTGCCAACCCGATGAAATAATAAGAGAAATGGAAATTTTTTTTAGAGTCAATTCATGGATTGCAAGACAGAGAAACCTCCCAAGAGATGTTGTTATCTACTTTTCCAGAAAATCAATCCGTAATCAAATTATTCAGGCTTTTTACAATCAAAGATTTCAAGTATCAGGACAAGATGTTATAAATTTAAAGGAGATACCACCCAAAATACTCAGAAGAAGGAAGGATTTTGCCTTCCTGGCTGAAGAATTGAAAAAGCATCAAATTCAATTCAGATGGGAGATACCTGCTGGTATTATGGTCAATTACATGGGAATA